AACTTATCATGACATTTCTGTACGACTAGTTAATGGTCCGAACCGGAACGAAACGTCGTTATAATAAATAAATAATTTTATTTCTACAAGTACATGTACAAAGTATACAGGTCTCCAGGTCCAGCTGACATCAGTGACATACTACTATATAGAAAGTTCCTTGTTATGTACAGCATTTCGGACAAATTATTCCAGTTTTGTCCCAGGATGCGACCCACACCAGTCCACTAACACCAAGTGTCTTAAGGAAACACGTCCTAATGTCTCCAGACTTAAGTTCCAGTCTCCTAAGTACGGCTTCTCAGGTTATTTGTACATTAGCTAGGTTTGTGAACCACTTGGCTGGCTCTCTGTACTAATACACTCTTACTCCACACCAGTTTGTGTGGAGTGACAGTTGTGTGTACACCATGTGTACCTATGTAACAGATACCTACACCAATATAAGAAATATACACCCAAAAAATCAAACCAAAAAAATATAAGACATTCCCAAAAAACGAAAAAAGAGATAAAAAAAATAAAAAATGCACCAATAAAAGGGGAAAAATTGTCCCCTCCTTAAAATATCAGTCAAAAAAAAGGAGGAGGTGAAAATTGGGCTAAATAAAAAGGGAAAAAAGGAAAAAAAGTTACCCCAAAAAACATAAGGAAGGGCCATTGGGGGGGTAAAAAACCAAATTATAGAGAGCAGGGGGTAAAAACCCAACCATTAAGAGGATGTACCCCAAAAAAGGGCAACACCAATTTTGAGCGAACCCCAAAATGACAGACCCATTTTTAAAACTTTTTTTAAAATGGGGTGTAACCATAAAGGGGCCTTGGTCAAATGGCAAACCCTAAGTGGCGGGTCAAGGATAAGACAGTCACCAAAAAGGGGCCCTTTTTCCCCAATTTTAAGGGAAAAAATTTAATAATAAAAACCCCTGTACCCCAATCCCACAGTCCATAAACAGGTAACCCTTTTCCCGGGGAGGGGGGGAACAAGGGCAAAACCGGGAAGGAAACACGCCGGGTTTCCAAGGGGGTTTCCAAGGTGCCAAGAAGCCCCGGCCTCATCGGTTATGAACCAGAGGTTTTCCCCCAGGCCGGGCACAGTCATAATTGCATTGGGAAACCTTTACCCCGCTCTAATAACTTTTTAAAGGGGTTTGGGGTAAAGGGAAGCCTCTTTCCCGTGGCAACTGGTGCTCATAATTTAGAAACGTACCCCCCCTTTTCTGAGAATTATACAAATAATAATAATAAATAATAAATTAATATAAAATACCAATTTTTTTTAACACAAAAAAGGTGAAGAAAATAATTTTATGGTTCCAGACAAAACCGGATTTTCAATTTTACCCAGGGGGAAGTTGGAAATTAATTTGCAGGGTAATCCTTCATTTATTGTTTCTTATAAAGAATCGTCTTTTTCGGGTCTTGGTTCCCCCATGGTTTTCTTCCCCACAAGCAAAATTTTTTTTTAAAAATTTTTAAATTTTAAATTTTTTAAATTTTCCAAAGGGAAAGGGCTTAAAGTATGGTTAGACAGCGCCCGGGGGGGGGGATTGGAAAATTCCCAGGTTAATTCGGGAATAAGACGTTTCCCCTTTCCCAATAAAACCCCCACCAACATGGTTCCCTGGCTTGGTTAGTAGCGCATTAGCTTAAACACAATGTCCGTGGCTCTATCCCCGGAACAAGTAGAAACGTTGGGCATGTTTCCTTATACCTGCTGCCCTTGTTCACCCAGCAGTAAGTAGGTACCTGGGTGTTAGTCGACTGGTGTGGGTAGCATCCTAGGGAGTGGTAGTATATCTTAGATACGGCTGAGCTTTGAAACGAGCTGAGGTAGGATAACAGCTCTTAGCGTCTCTCTCCTCACTTCTCGTTTCCAACCTTTCTGATCGCATCAAGAGAACTTTCAACAATAATCTTCGGACTCTCATCGATTTCTTTCTCCTGACTTTGATCTTGTTCAACGCTTCCCTGTTATTTGTCCCTCTCTACCTTATTTCTATGGTCGTCGTAAAGCTCATAAACCTGATATCTCTCTACATCCCTGTCTCTTATTCTCTTGCCTCTTGGCTGGCCAAAACTCTCACTCCTTTTCTTGGTACTTTTTCTCCCGCTCATCTGCCACTCTCGATGCCCCTACCAATCTTGTTCTCTTTCAAGTTTAAAGCTGAATGGGAATCTAACTCTTTGTTTCCTTTCCTTATTGTATATGTCTATCGCTCGGCTACAGGCTTTTTTTGTTTCATTGCAAGCCTATGCATAGCTGTATGTACATTCACTACATTTTTTACCATGCTCCCTCTGTCATGAAAAGTTTTCTTATTTCTCTCTTTCTTCGTGTCCTCCGCATAGCTGACCCTCAGTTCCTTCAATCGGAAGTTTCCATTCTTCATCATTTCTCTCGTCTTGGCTACCATTCCAATTTCGTAAACTTTGTCTTCTCATGTGCTAAGGGCTTTCTTTTCTCCCAAACTCTCTACGCCTGTGAAATCTTTTGTTTTCTGCTTTCCCTATATTTCCAGTCTTTCTAATCTCAACAACTATCCCAGTTTCTTGGACATCAAACTTGCACCATTCACAGTAATTTAGTTAGTACCTCTCCTCCTCCTCCTCCTATTGATGCCTCCAGAGTCTACTCTATTTCCTGCTCCTCTTGTCTTCTTTAATACTTTCGATAAACTGGCCGCTCTCTTTCTGCCAGACTTAAAGAACACAAAAGTAGTGTTAGGCTTGCCGTCACCAATAATGCTTTTTTTCTGTCATATTAGAGATCACAGTCATCCTACTGACTGATTCTCTGCTAAAACTGTGCACCCTACTTCTAGCCTTCATAGTCGTCGTCTTGTTAAAGCAACCCTTATGTACAACTTTCCTTGTACAAATCTTAGTATTGGCTTTGTTTCTGTAGATGCCCTCCTGTCTCATTACATTATCAAATGCTCCGAACTTCAGAACACTCGTGACTTGACTTAATCTTTTATTCTCCTCTCCCTACCTCTTCTCCTTTCCTATTTTCTTGGTCTTCCTTTATTGTGACTAGGTGTGTTCTGTCCTTCAATATATTCCTCCCTGTGTTTCTGGTCCCACCCTTGTGGGTCATTACCTCTCCTGAAGTGCTCCTTTGTCTTGTCCTTAGACTTACTCCACTTCTACTACTACTCCATTACAACTATTATTACTATTACCTCGTTTCACTTCCCTTTGTCTCTTGTGCCACTACCACTACTCCCCTACTTACTACTACCACTACCAGCATTACCTCTACCCCTCGTCCCTCTCCCCCTCTTCCATGTAGTATATATATACTAGCTCACTCACCTTCGTGTGTTAGTATCACTAGTTAATGGTACAAGTTGGACCAAGAGTCATCGTAAGTTTCTTTCTCCTATCTGCGGTTATTTGTGTATTGTTCCAGTATTGTGCCTTTTTGTTCTTCACAATTCTTGATTTTAGTTGCTATGTGAGAACTTTAGAAAGCCTCGTCTGACACACTTGAAATTTTCACAATCTATATAGTTTTCGTAGAAGAAGGTTGGTACTGTTAGTGGAGAGTGTAGGTGTCATTTTCCTAATTTTAATTGATAAATGGCATAGCAATTTTTTGCGCTAAATAACCAGTGTATAACTCCTTCTGAACGCTACTGCCCACACACACACAAAGCTTAAGGGCACTATCCTGGGAAGAAGCTGCATCAGCCATTAAATACTGAAGCCATTTAGAGGAACTTATTTCACATCGTTTAACGAGATTAAATGTTTACCTGGAGTTTACCTGGAGAGAGTTCCGGGGGTCAACGCCCCCGCGGCCTGGTCTGTGACCAGGCCTCCTGGTGGATCAGAGCCTGATCAACCAGGCTGTTACTGCTGGCTGCACGCAAACCAACGTACGAGCCACAGCCCGGCTGGTCAAGAACCGACTTTAGGTGCTTGTCCAGTGCCAGCTTGAAGACTGCCAGGGGTCTGTTGGTAATCCCCCTTATGTATGCTGGGAGGCAGTTGAACAGTCTCGGGCCCCTGACACTTATTGTATGGTCTCTTAACGTGCTAGTGACACCCCTGCTTTTCATTGGGAGGATGTTGCATCGTCTGCCAAGTCTTTTGCTTTCGTTGTGAGTGATTTTCGTGTGCAGTTCGGTACTGTCCCTCTAGGATTTTCCAGGTGTTTATAATCATGTATCTCTCCCGCCTGCGTTCCAGAGAATACAGGTTCAGGAACTTCAAGTGTCCCAGTAATTGAGGGGGTTTTATCTCCGTTATGCGCGCCGTGAGGTTTTTCTGTACATTTTCTAGGTCAGCAATTCACCTGCCCTTTAAAGGTGCTGTTAGTGTGCAGCAATATTTCGCCTAGATAGAACAGTGACCTGAAGAGTGTCATCATGGGCTTGGCCTCCCTAGTTTTGAAGGTTCTCATTATCCATCCTGTCATTTTTCTAGCAGATGCGATTGATACAATGTTATGGTCCTTGAAGATGAGATTCTCCGACATGATCACTCCCAGGTCTTTGACGTTGGTGTTTCGCTCTATTTTGTGGCCAGAATTTGTTTTGTACTCTGATGAAGATTTAATTTCCTCGTGTTTACCATATGTGAGTAATTGAAATTTCTCATCGTTGAACTTCATATTGTTTTCTGCAGCCCACTGAAAGATTTGGTTGATGTCAAATCTGGTAGCCAAATCTGCACTTGAGTTACCCTCTTCACTTTTGTTCAATTAAGAGGAAACTTAATGTTTGAAGGTAAACCAGTGAGTGTTTCGGAAGTTATTGGAACATTCCAAGATGCTGGGAATAGGTACGGCAACTAAGGTGGGCCTTAATTACTGTACATGAGCACTGAAAGTTTGAAGCCGATCAGATGGAGTAAAAAAAAAAAAAGAAACCAAATTAGGCTATCGTTTAGAGGCTTCCGTCGGGACATATACTGAGCCTGTGGTACCAGACTGACGGTACACCGTGTATACTAGTAGACTCACTGGTACTCTGTGGACCATAGTCACACACCTGGTACACACCTTTGAGAGAGGAGGGTGACCCCCCAACCATGGGAGTGGTTGGAGGCCACAGAGGTCAGATGTAGAGTGTGACCCAGGGTCCAGGGGTCACCAGTGTAGTAGGTCACACTATCACCCAGCCGCTGCCAAACCTCGTACTTGCGCCATCCAGCTGACACAAAGCATAGAAGGATAAACAGAGTTATATATGGGAAAATCTGCAAGCAAAACACCTTACAATCCACACCCCGCAATAGTCCAGTCACGACTAACATTATATATATATATTTATATATATAAAAATATATATTATATATATATATTATATATAATTATATATATATATATATAAAATATATATATATATATTATATAATATATATATATATTTTTTATATATATATTTTATATATATATTATATATTTTTATATATATATATATATATATATAGTGCCGAATATGTAAAATTGGTCAGTTAGCAAGAACTCATTTAAAATTAAGTCTTTTCTAAAATTTTATCTTATACGTTGAAAGATATATATTTTTTCATTTATGTTAATGTAAAAATTAATAATTTTGTGTCAAAAGTACTTTAGAAAACTTACTTAACCTTATTATAACAAGCACAATTCAATTTAGACTAATCCAACTAAATATATTTTAGATAAGTTTACAACAATTTAATAATAAACAAACAATGAAATACATATTTTTTTCGTTTGCCTTATTCGGCAAGAAGATCGTTGCTATTTACGCCAGAATATCACTCACAAAAACAAACCTCACAGAGATAATAACAGATGCGATCTTTCTTGTTGGATATTAATTTATAAGGAAAGACCAGGGGAACAGAGGAAGAGGAGAACTGCTCACCAGAAACAAGTGGAATTTTGAGATAAGAGGAAAGAACAGATGGGGAAGCAGACGACTACACACTAGGCATACTGAATACAGAAGGTCCTAAGGTAGTGACAGCAGTGATGTACAACCCTCCACTAAACAACAAGAGACTGAGACATGAATATGATGAAAAAATGAGTAATGATGGATATATTAGCTGAGGTGGCCCAGAAGAGTCAACATGAGCAGGGTAGAGTGTCTGATCAAGGTTGATTTCAACCATAAGGAGACTAGGGGTACCTAGAGCCAAACAGGGATGTAAAAACATGGAGAGTTAAGATGCTGGGGGTAATGATGGAGAAATGTATGGACCAACATGTTAGGGACAAACCCAGACAGAGAGGGGAGGCTGAACCAGCAAGGTTCAGTAACCCTAGGTAATTCTGATATAGGGTATAAAAGGCCCCTCGGTGCTAGTGACCACATGGTTTTAAGTTTCGAATATCTTGTTGAACTAACAGTAAAGAGAGATGCAGCATGGGAAGGGTGTGAAAATCCAGGCTTCAAAAGAGGGGACAATGCAAGCATGAGACAATTCCTAAATGATGTGCAGTGGGTAAGAGAACTACAGGGAAAGACAATGAATCAAGTGATGGAGTATATAGGTGGAAAGTGTAGTCAGTGCCGGATCAGCCGGGCTGTGGTTCGTACGTTGGATTGCGTGCGGCCAGCAGTAACAGCCTCGTTGATCAGGCTCTGATTCACCGGGAGGCCTGGTCGTGGACCGGGCAGCGGGGGTGTTGATCCCCGGAATACCCTCCAGATAGACTCCAGGAAGGCAGAGGAGAAATTCCTACCCGGGAACAAACGAAACAATGGAAAGAAGGATGCCAGTCCATGGTTTACTCAGAGGTGTACAAACACCAAAGCTAAATGCACTAAAGCGTGGAAAAAATGTAAAAGGCGAAGAACTCAGGAAAACAATGAATTGAGCCGAAGAACCAGAAATCAATATTCATGGATAATAAAAGAGAGTCAATGACAGTTTGAGAATGACTTAGCAGCGAAAGCCAAATCTGACCCAAAGTTGTTATATATCCACATCAGGAGGAAGATAATGATAAAGAACCAGGTAATGAAGCTGAAGAAGAGAGGAAGGATGGAGGATGAAAGGCGCTTACAAGAAATGACCAGAAAGTTTGCGAGGAGCTCAGTAAGATTTAGGGAGGTATTCTTGGAGGAGTTATAAGGCCATCAGTGATCCGCTGCAGTAGATTTCACCATCGAACACTAAATACAATAAATACAACTGGGGAGGAGGTGAAGAAGCTAATGTCTGAGCTAGATACCTTAAAGGCAGTGGGACCTGATATCTTTCCGTGAGTTCTGAGAGAGGGAGCAGAGGCACTGTGTGTAACGCTAACAACAAATTTTAGTAAGTCTATTGACACAGGGCAACTGTCAGAGGTGTGGAAGACAGCAAATGTAATCCCAATAAAAAGACAGACAAACAGGCAGCGTTAAACTACAGACCAGCATCAATGACATGCATAGTATGTAAGATTATGAAGAAGATTATCAAGAAAAAAGTGATGGAGCAACTAGCATGGCTTTAAAGATGGTAAATCCTGTCTCACAAATCTACTGGAGCTCTAGGACAAGGTAACAGAAGTAAGGCAGGAGAGAGAAAGGGATGTGTGCATTGTATCTTCTTGCAATGAACACCTGCTGCTAGGATGAAGGACTATTTACCTTATCTTCTACCTCTTCACCCTTCTATTTTTGTCCTTGTATTGCACTGATAAAGTCACAGGGTGGCAAAATGTCTCTATAATAACGCACCTAGTTGTTGCACGTGTCTAATTCTTCATCTCGTCCGTATTGTATATCATTTATGTTATGAATCAGCGTCTTTATATTCGTCTACCGCCTTCACTGCTATACTGAAAAAGGTTAGTAAATTTGCAGGGCGTGAACGCTCTTTGGTGAAACCGAGTTAAGATACATTGATCAAATTATATATTTCGAGATGGATTCGAAATGCACTTGAGATTATTGATTCTATTAACTTTTCTGGAAGTGAAGTGAGGCTCATTGTCCTATAATTTGAAGTTAACGACCAATCTCTCACTTTGTAAATGGAATCCGATGTGCCATTTTCCACTTAACTATCACAACACCCATTCTTAGTGATCTGTTGAAGAGAAGCTAATGTGGTGTTAGGCAACACAGTGTCCTACCAGACTACCAGAGATAGTGATCCACAGATCAACATAACACAGACCAACATATTGAACAGCAGACAACACATGTACAGCTTAAGATAGGAAGATATAGCACAGGTCTACAAAATAGTGCAGGTCCTTTCAGGATATTACTTTTTTCTACAGGATAATACTGGTTTCTACAGGATATTACTGGTTTCTACAGGATTGTGCTGGTTTCTACAGGATATTGGTTTCGACAGGATAGCACTGGTTTCTACAGGATATTGGCTTCTACAGGATAGTACTGGTTTCTCCAGTACTCCAGTTTATCCAGTATTTCAATTGTGTTGGAGAGGTCTGAGCAAAGATTTGTTAAGTTATACCATGAATTAAGGAAAGATCCTGGACTTCACCTTACAAAAACAGACAAAGCAAATGCCATAGTAATTATGGACAAGGTAGATTATAGGGAAAAAATAAACATGATGTTAGGAGACAGGGAAACTCAGGCGCCTCTTTAAGAACGTAGGGTGGACTAACCTATGAACTTGGTGAGGAGGTTGTTGCCACGGGTTGGTAGCTGATCAAGATCTTCAAGGCTGAGGTCAGTCCAGATCACGTGTCGAAGGTCACCAGCCGCTTCCTGCACGTACCCGCCCACGTAACTAACAAATATAATACAGTAATTGTGCGAGTGAATATGAAAAATTATATAAAATACCGACTGGTTGATAAGTAAGACACTAATATGCACACTGTCAGATATGACATCTGCTTCTCTCTTATCCATCTCTATTTTGATAATTTCTCTGCCTTTTTCTTTCGTCAGCCATTTTAATATTCTTTAATATTTCTATTTGCTTGACAATAGCAGAGATGCTTCTTTGTGGAAAGTCATACTAACGCATTAATGCACTAGACATATAACATGTACATAAACGAATGAAACTCAGGATGACGTTTCGGTCCGACTTGCACCATTAACTAGTCACACAGAAGTGCGAAGGGAAGGGAGCCAGTATATATACGAGAGGGGGAAGGGTCTGGGAGTAGAGCGTTCTAGGACTCCCGGCTACGCCCCTCTCGTCTATACTGACTCGCTTCCCTTCGGACCAAAACGTCGCCATAAGTTTCATTCTATGTGTGGTTATTTAAGTATGTTTCTAGTCACGGTGTTGTGCCTTTTATCCTTTACCGGCTTGATCTTCAGAGAAATGGTTTGTTTATTGAGCACTTTAGGGGCCATGATTTGTTAACGCAAAAGATGGTATAATATTACACAAATGCAGTTATGATGGGTAAATAATCCAGAATTAGGGTGAAAACACTCGTAATACCTTTACACTGAAGAGTATACAAACTGTAGTACAGTACAAACTCTCCTATTGGCTGAGATTCTAGCATACAGACATTTAGTCCTATTGCCACTCTCACAGACTACTATTCCTATTGGTTCAGACGCTGTCGAAAAGGCAAGTTACTGGACTGCTGGTTGGCTAAGGCCCACCAACACAGAAGCTGAGGCTTCTAATACTGCCCAAGACGCAAACTACCAGTGGTGGGCACAGTTACGCTAATCCGCTAACCACTAATTAGCGGAATTAACTTTCTGTTTAGCGGGTTAGCGTTTCCGCTAACTTCGGAAACCGTTAGCGGACCACTTAGCTTCCACTAAATAAAGTTCAGCTAACTTTGAGTCCGCTAAAAAAAAAATCATACGTTGTTGGTAGTCGGAAGGAGGTCGTGAGTGAAGTCGCCTTCTTGGGTGAGCAGGTTTTCATCGACCTATTCATTAATATTTTACAATTAAGAATAAAACTAAGTCTGCCCGAAATGCCAAGCCATGCTAAGCGTTCTAGTGGTACACTCTGTAATCACAATTTTACTACATGTAAACCAAACAATAACCGAATTTCTGTAAACTCAGCATTGTAATCCTTATAGAGAATAAACTTTGAATTTGAATTTGAATTTGAATTAAGTACAACACTGCCATCCCATCCAGTGCTGCAGCTGAGCGCGTATTCTCTATAAGCAAATATATCTTGAGGGCCAAGAAGCCACCCTATCAGATGGAATCTTTGAGAGGCTGAGGCTCATGAAGGGCGACCAGCATCACATCAAAGCGATGGAGAAGACCCAGCCTGGGTAGTAATCAGCCCAGCCATCATCTGACCGTGGCATGATGCCCATGATATGCATTTTGTACAGTAAATAAAGTGTGTGTTGGATTTAAACTGATGTTTGATTTCATTTGTTCATTTAACTATTTGTGTGCACCTGTATGTCTGTGTCACTGGTGCAGCGATAAGTTGTGTGCACCTGTATGGCTGTATCACTGGTGCAGCGATAAGTTGTGTGCACCTGTATGGCTGTATCACTGGTGCAGCGATAAGTTGTGTGCACCTGTATGGCTGTATCACTGGTGCAGCGATAAGTTGTGTGCACCTGTATGGCTGTATCGCTGTTGCAGCGATAAGTTGGCCTCAAGGTTGCAACTTTAAGCACAATTTTCAACTACTTGTTTGTAGTTCATTGGGTTCAAAATCTAAATACAAACATGAACAGAAACAGAATAAAATGAACGAAAACAATTAGTAACTCGAACTAATGAAGAAAACAGTCAAATAAGCTAAATCAACGTGTTGGGTGCTATGGTGCTTCAGTACAGCGACAAGTGTGTCCTTGTCGGTCGCTCCGCATCACAAAATTAAACACTCGCCACTTGATCATCATATGACCTTGACATTCTGTATCTTATTAGGAAGCTCTAAAGGTCTGTTCTAAAAGTCTTAAAAGTAATAGATTAAAAAACTAAACCGAATCTGAATTCATGTGAAAAAGTTAGCGTTTTGCGTGTAGTGTTAGCTTCCGCTAATTTTTTCGGTCGTTTAGCGGTTTAGCGTCAGCGAAGCTAATTTCTTACTTAGCGGATTAGCGGTTAGCGAAGCAAACTTTTCGGTTAGCTGTGCCCATCACTGCAAACTACCACACTGCTGACTGGCTGAAGGCCACCCAACCTCACCATCCATAAAGATAGTATTAATAATAATGTTTATTTCTACAAGTATACGATACAACTATTACAGACATAGCTGATATCACTGGCATACTATATAGAAAGCCCCTGGTTATGTACAGCATCTCGGGTAAATTATGTCAGTCTTCTTCCCCAGGATGCCACCCACAAATTCTACAATCGTATCTCCAATTTTTAACAGCAACTTAAAACCAAATTCCTCTATGACGGTAAATTTTAATTCCAAATTATCGTAACTCCAGCCCATCGTAATTACAGACACCACTGTAGAAATAATGGAAGTAGCAGTAGTAGTAGTAATGCATTAAGTATTCATGGTAGTAGTAATAAAATGTAATAATATTAAAAGAATGATTAGTAAAGTGTAGTACTACTAGTAGTAATAGTAGTAATAATAGTGCATAACCTCTACCGCACTCACTGTGTGGAGGTGGAGTGACCATGGAGGGTACACTTACTGTGTGGTGGAGTGACCATGGAGTGTACACTTACTGTGTGGTGGAGTGACCATGGAGGGTACACTTACTGTGTGGTGGAGGAGTGACCATGGAGGGTACACTTACTGTGTGGAGGTGGAGTGACCATGGAGGGTACACTTACTGTGTGGAGGTGGAGTGACCATGGAGGGTACACTTACTGTGTGGTGGAGGAGTGACCATGGAGGGTACACTTACTGTGTGGAGGTGGAGTGACCATGGAGGGTACACTTACTGTGTGGTGGTGGAGTGACCATGGAGGGTACACTCACTGTGTGGAGGTGGAGTGACCATGGAGGGTACACTTACTGTGTGGTGGAGGAGTGACCATGGAGGGTACACTTACTGTGTGGTGGAGGAGTGACCATGGAGGGTACACTCACTGTGTGGAGGTGGAATGACCATGGAGGGTACACTTACTGTGTGGTGGAGGAGTGACCATGGAGGGTACACTCACTGTGTGGAGGTGGAGTGACCATGGAGGGTACACTCACTGTGTGGAGGTGGAGTGACCATGGAGGGTACACTTACTGTGTGGTGGAGTGACCATGGAGGGTACACTCACTGTGTGGAGGTGGAGTGACCATGGAGGGTACACTTACTGTGTGGTGGAGGAGTGACCATGGAGGGTACACTCACTGTGTGGAGTGACCATGGAGGGTACACTCACTGTGTGGAGGAGGAGTGACCATGGAGGGTACACTTACTGTGTGGTGGAGGAGTGACCATGGAGGGTACACTCACTGTGTGCAGGTGGAGTGACCATGGAAGGTACACTTACTGTGTGGTGGAGTGACCATGGAGGGTACACTCACTGTGTGGAGGTGGAGTGACCATGGAGGGTACACTTACTGTGTGGTGGAGGAGTGACCATGGAGGGTACACTCACTGTGTGGTGGAGTGACCATGGAGGGTACACTCACTGTGTGGAGGTGGAGTGACCATGGAGGGTACACTTACTGTGTAGTGGAGTGACCATGGAGGGTACACTCACTGTGTGGAGGTGGAGTGACCATGGAGGGTACACTTACTGTGTGGTGGAGGAGTGACTATGGAGGGTACACTCACTGTGTGGTGGAGTGACCATGAAGGGTACACTTACTGTGTGGTGGAGTGACCATGGAGGGTACACTTACTGTGTGGTGGAGTGACCATGGAGGGTACACTCACTGTGTGGTGGTGGAGTGACCATGGAGGGTACACTTACTGTGTGGAGGTGGAGTGACCATGGAGGGTACACTTACTGTGTGGTGAAGGAGTGACCATGAAGGGTACACTTACTGTGTGGTGGAGGAGTGACCATGGAGGGTACACTTACTGTGTGGTGGAGTGACCATGGAGGGTACACTTACTGTGTGGTGGAGTGACCATGGAGGGTACACTTACTGTGTGGAGGTGGAGTGACCATGGACGGTACACTTACTGTGTGGTGGAGTGACCATGGAGGGTACACTTACTGTGTGGTGGAGGAGTGACCATGGAGGGTACACTTACTGTGTGGTGGAGGAGTGACCATGGAGGGTACACTTACTGTGTGGTGGAGTGACCATGGAGGGTACACTTACTGCGTGGTGGTGACCATGGAGGGTACACTTACTGTGTGGTGGAGGAGTGACCATGGAGGGTACACTTACTGTGTGGAGGTGGAGTGACCATGGAGGGTACACTTACTGTGTGGTGGAGTGACCATGGAGGGTACACTTACTGTGTGGTGGAGGAGTGACCATGGAGGGTACACTTACTGTGTGGTGGAGGAGTGACCATGGAGGGTACACTTAGTGTGTGGTGGAGGAGTGACCATGGAGGGTACACTTACTGTGTGGTGGAGGAGTGACCATGGAGGGTACACTTACTGTGTGGAGGTGGAGTGACCATGGAGGGCACACTTACTGTGTGGTGGAGGAGTGACCATGGAGGGTACACTTACTGTGTGGTGGAGTGACCATGGAGGGTACACTCACTGTGTGGAGGTGGAGTGACCATGGAGGGTACACTTACTGTGTGGTGGAGTGACCATGGAGGGTACACTTACTGTGTGGTGGAGTGACCATGTAGGGTACACTTACTGTGTGGAGGAGTGACCATGGAGGGTACACTTACTGTGTGGTGGAGTGACCATGGAGGGTACACTTACTGTGTGGTGGAGTTGACCATGGAGGGTACACTTACTGTGTGGTGGAGTGACCATGGAGGGTACACTCACTGTGTGGAGGTGGAGTGACCATGGAGGGTACACTTACTGTGTGGTGGAGTGACCATGGAGGGTACACTTACTGTGTGGTGGAGTGACCATGGAGGGTACACTTACTGTGTGGAGGTGGAGTGACCATGGAGGGTACACTTACTGTGTGGTGGAGTGACCATGGAGGGTACACTTACTGTGTGGTGGAGGTGGAGTGACCATGGAGGGTACACTTACTGTGTGGTGGAGTGACCATGGAGGGTACACTTATTGTGTGGTGGAGGTGGAGTGACCATGGAGGGTACACTTACTGTGTGGTGGAGTGACCATGGAGGGTACACTTACTGTGTGGTGGAGGTGGAGTGACCATGGAGGGTACACTGTGTGGTGGAGGTGGAGTGACCATGGAGGGTACACTGTGTGGTGGAGGTGGAGTGACCATGGAGGGTTGTGATGTAGCTCAGCTGGGCTTGTGAGGTCTCTGTAGGGAGACCTAATATAACTAATTATATGGTCACACCTTGCCTTGGCAAATGGCTGTCAACCACGCCTTTTTGGCTTTAGTCTGAGGTCTTCTGTTCGTGACGGTGTCAGACCTCGGCGTCAGGTAGTAACACGTAGTCTACGCCTTATGGAAAAGGGGGTGCTTAGAGGAATATAAGCCAAGGAACAGCTGAGCAAGGAGGTTGTTGGAGACAGGTCCGGGGAGCGAGAGCTCGGGACAGACGTGTGTGTAGTGCACCACACATTGGGAATCTCGGGTCAGCTGGTAGGTGAACTAAGAGTGAGGACTAGTCCGTGTTACTGATAACATCTACCCTTCCCCCTGGTAATAAGTCTCAAAGGTCAATTGTTATATTATGTAAATTTCCATCAGGATATGTCGTATTTTAGCCCTTTTATGTTATTAAGTAAACTATAGCCAGAGTTCCCATTTTTATTTGTACCTTCATATGCTATTCCCTATTCTGTTAAGAACTGGGATAACACAGGAGACGTGCTCACTTGCTGGGATACCTCAGGCAGAGTGGGTAAAGGTCTCACAGGGTACACTAACTGTGTGGTGGAGGTGGAGTGACCATGGAGGGTACACGTACTGTGTGGTGGAGGTGGAGTGGCCATGGAGGGTACACGTACTGTGTGGTGGAGGTGGAGTGGCCATGGAGGGTACACTAACTGTTTGGTGAAGGTGGAGTGGCCATGGAGGGTACACTTACTGTGTGGTGGAGGTGGAGTGGCCATGGAGGGTACATTTACAGTGTGGTAGAGGTGGAGTGGCCATGGAGGGTACACGTACTGTGTGGTGGAGGTGGAGTGGCCATGGAGGGTACACTAACTGTTTGGTGAAGGTGGAGTGGCCATGGAGGGTACACTTACTGTGTGGTGGAGGTGGAGTGGCCATGGAGGGTACATTTACAGTGTAGTAGAGGTGGAGTGGCCATGGAGGGTACACGTACTGTGTGGTGGAGGTGGAGTGGCCTTGGAGGGTACACTTACTGTGTGGTGGAGGTGGAGTGGCCATGGAGGGTACACTAACTGTTTGGTGGAGGGGAGTGGCCATGGAGGGTACACTTACTGTGTGGTGGAGGTGGAGTGGCCATGGAGGGTACATTTACTGTGTGGTGGAGGTGGCGTGGCCATGGAGGGTACACTTACTGCGTGGAGGTTGAGTGACCATGGAGGGTACACTTACTGTGTGGTGGATTTGGAGTGACCATGGAGGGTACACTTACTGTGTGGTGGAGATGGAGTGACCATGGAGGGTACACTTACTGTGTGGTAGAGGTGGAGTGACCATGGAGGGTACACTTACTGTGTGATGGAGGTGGAGTGGCCATGGAGGGTACACTTACTGTGTGGTGGAGGTGGAGTGGCCATGGAAGGTACACTTACTGTGTGGTGGAGATGGAGTGACCATGGAGGGTACACTTACTGTGTGGTGGAGGTGGAGTGGCCATGGAGGGTACACTTACTGTGTGGTAGAGGTGGAGTGACCATGGAGGGTACACTTACTCTGTGGTGGGGGTGGAGTGGCCATGGAGGGTACACTTACTGTGTGGTGGAGATAGAGTGACCATGGAGGGTACACTTACTATGTGGTGGAGGTGGAGTGACCATGGAGGGTACACTTACTGTGTGGTGGAGGTGGAGTGACCATGGAGGGTACACTTACTGTGTGGAGGTGGAGTGACCATGGAGGGTACACTTATTGTGTGGTGGAGGTGGAGTGGCCATGGAGGGTACATTTACTGTGTGGTGGAGGTGGAGTAGCCATGGAGGGTACACTTACTGCGTGATGGAGGTTGAGTGACCATGGAGGGTACACTTACTGTGTGGTGGAGATGGAGTGACCATGGAGGGTACACTTACTGTGTGGTGGAGGAGTGACCATGAAGGGTACACTTACTGTGTGGTGGAGGAGTGACCATGGAGGGTACACTTACTGTGTGGTGGAGTGACCATGGAGGGTACACTTACTGTGTGGTGGAGGAGTGACCATGGAAAGTACACTTACTGTGTGGAGGTGGAGTGACCATGGAGGGTACACTTACTGTGTGGTGGAGTGACCATGGAGGGTACACTAACTGTGTGGTGGAGGAGTGACCATGGAGGGTACACTTACTGTGTGGTGGAGTGACCATGGAGGGTACACTTACTGTGTGGTGGAGTGACCATGGAGGGTACACTTACTGTGTGGTGGAGGAGTGACAATGGAGGGTACACTTACTGTGTGGAGGTGGAGTGACCATGGAGGGTACACTTACTGTGTGGTGGAGGTGGAGTGACCATGGAGGGTACACTTACTGTGTGGTGGAGGTGGAGTGACCATGGAGGGTACACTTACTGTGTGGAGGTGGAGTGACCATGGAGGGTACACTTATTGTGTTGTGGAGGTGGAGTGGCCATGGAGGGTACATTTACTGTGTGGTGGAGGTGGAGTAGCCATGGAGGGTACACTTACTGCGTGATGGAGGTTGAGTGACCATGGAGGGTACACTTACTGTGTGGTGGAGTGACCATGGAGGGTACACTTACTGTGTGGTGGAGGAGTGACCATGGAGGGTACACTTACTGTGTGGTGGAGGAGTGACCATGGAGGGTACACTTAGTGTGTGGAGGTGGAGTGACCATGGAGGGTACACTTACTGTGTGGTGGAGGAGTGACCATGGAGGGTACACTTACTGTGTGGAGGTGGAGTGACCATGGAGGGCACACTTACTGTGTGGAGGTGGAGTGACCATGGAGGGCACACTTACTGTGTGGTGGAGGAGTGACCATGGAGGGTACACTTACTGTGTGGTGGAGTGACCATGGAGGGTACACTCACTGTGTGGAGGTGGAGTGACCATGGAGGGTACACTTACTGTGTGGTGGAGTGACCATGGAGGGTACACTTACTGTGTGGTGGAGTGACCATGGAGGGTACACTTACTGTGTGGAGGAGTGACCATGGAGGGTACACTTACTGTGTGGTGGAGTGACCATGGAGGGTACACTTACTGTGTGGTGGAGTGACCATGGAGGGTACACTTACTGTGTGGAGGAGTGACCATGGAGGGTACACTTACTGTGTGGTGGAGTGACCATGGAGGGTACACTTACTGTGTGGTGGAGTGACCATGGAGGGTACACTTACTGTGTGGTGGAGTGACCATGGAGGGTACACTCACTGTGTGGAGGTGGAGTGACCATGGAGGGTACACTTACTGTGTGGTGGAGTGACCATGGAGGGTACACTTACTGTGTGGTGGAGTGACCATGG